TGAGCTAGTATTGTAGCACAGTTTTGTAAGACAAACTGGTTTTTACTTTTCCTCTGCAAAGTAACCAAATTCAGCTCATAAGCTCTGTACAGAGAACCACGTGTTTGAATATGCTGACAGGCACAATCATGAAGCAGAGATATTGCAATGAAAACTTTACAATGAAAAAACAAGGCCTGCTTATCAATATGAGATGTGTGCAGATCCATTTCCACCGGCTTTATCCAGGAAATCCAACCTGCAATGAACAGGATCAATTCCTTTATTTACAAGGTGCATGTTATTGCTTTGCTATGCAAATGCTTTCAAAAGCGGAGTAATGCCATTCTGCTTTTGTGGGGAAATTATCACTGCACCAGGACAAGCGAGCAGAGCTTTGATGGGTGCAGAATAAGGGTGTTAGAAAGCTAAGCAGTGTGTGTGGGTGTGCAGCAAATGGGCTATTTTGGATGTCTTCAGAAGAAAGGAAGCATTACTCGGCCCTATTGGAGCACTGAGGTATACTTCCAACACAGACGATTAACATGAAAAGCACTATCTAATGGTATTTTCCACTGCTGTGAGAAGAGGCTGTAATCACATTATTATTTGTGTCGGAGATCAAGATTAATCAGGGTTAAAGCATGTCACAATCTTTTAACAATACAATGATGGCGGCTACAGATGCTATTTACTGCATTATGACTGCATGTGTGTCTCCAAAGCTCCAAAGAGTGATAAACAGCCATTATTCTTTTGCTTCATGGATTGTACATTGTTATATTAACCCCACTGCCAGTTTATTTAGATTTAAAATATTCTGGCTTTGCATTTCAGGATTTTTTTCATCAGTCAAATAAGACCTTTCCAAAGGAATACATAGATTTTGGTCATAAAGTGCATGCTCTCTGTGAAAGCCAGTGGTGAGAGGAGGTTCAAACTTAATGAGTGCTTTGGCAGCTTGTGTGGAAAAGGCAGGCAGTGATTAACGGAACACTTCAGAGTACAAGGCACAGCGGTGCTCAAAGAAAACAGTGATGATCTCCACTTAATCGCGGAGAAGCCCGGAGCATCTGCCGCCAGAGCAGGGCAGCGGCACCGACGAGCTCCCGCTCCGCTAGGCTGTCATCTCCAGAGAGCTACGGCCATATGCTCGGCTCTGCCGCAAACTCACAGGAAGTTAATTTTCTGACAAAACACAGGGAGAAATATGACATTCAAACAAGTTGTGCTCAGCCAGGCTGAACGTGGACGCCGTGCCAAGCTCAAGCTGCATGTGTCACACTTAGGAAGGAGTTTATCTGCATGGATTTATACTGTTTTACATGCATTAGTATTATGCAAACAAAGGGTGGCAATTTTCATATTTTAAACTATAGGCAATATCACCAATTGTCATAGATAAAATTATACAATTTTAATCATAAAGAAAACCCTATACCTTCTATAGGGTGATCGACTGAAAGAACAGCATGGACAAAAAGATGAACTTCCCTTTCACTTTGCAGACATATACTATGTCTCCCAATGGCATGTCATTAAAATAATGTCAATCAAACGTTAAATAGAAGCTAACCTAACCTTGTCTGTGGAGACAAAATGCCATTGCACCCCAGAACAAAAGACTCACAGGTGTGAACAAAATCCTTATCACACTGGCCAATAAAGACGAGAATATAGTGTTTCTGGACCTCTTTCTTCCAGCCCTGTATATCAAACAGTGAAAAGACACTGAGCCTAAGGGATGAAGCCAGTTCTAACACACAGATTCTTTACAACAATAAGCAGTATCATATGGAATAGTGTCTGGGCCATCGCTGCAGGTGGGGCTGCATGTCTGGACTGACTAAACAAATGTAGGAAAGCAATATGGTCAACACTGGAGTTATACAGGAGAACAAACCAGTACCTCCCTATTGAAAAAGCAGCAGAATTGACTGCAAAACTATAGCCCAGAATGTTTGATTAGGCTAGAGGAAGATAAATAATATTTGTAGATGGAAAAACTGAGGAAAAACTGGGGCATAATGGAGACATAAACAAAACTCAGTACTTAAGACTAATCATATTGTACATAATGGAACCATATGAAATAATGCATATTATTAACAATAATAATTATACTGTTTATTTATAAGCACCTTTCTAACACCAAAGGTCACTTTACAGGACCTGAACACAATAAAAACACCATTAATACAATTATAAGAGGTTTAAACAGACATAAAAAGGAGGGTTTTGAAGTGGAACTTGAAAAGGCGTGGAGAGTCCAATATTGTTAGACTTAAAAGCAGAAAGAAATGGTTGAAAAGAGAGGAGAGGTCCACAATCTGTGATGTGCACATAGAACATCAGCAGTTGAGTGGCATTATTCATTAACCTAGACTGACACTTTGTGGTAAACGAGCTTATTTTGAATCAGGAATAAGAGTGATGGGTTGTTGCAGCAAGCAACAGAAAGACGGAGAGACTGAATCAAATGATATGAGTAGGCAAAATTAAGCTCCAGTGCAAGTGGAACACTTCACAAGAGAGCCAATTCCAATTCCACAGCACTTAATTTAGGATTTGTATGGTTCAGCAGCATGATACTGTGTAAGCCACCTAAGGACAGAGATAGAGAGGCAGCCAACGAAGAGTCACCAAGGCCCGTGAGGAATACAACACACAAAGATAGTACAGGCTTCCACAATCCCTCATGGTTTCTCTATCTCCAAACAGATAAAATAAAATGTAGTAATAATGTTAAACACACAAAATGATGGAACTGGACAAAAAAAAAAAAAAAAAAAAAAACAAGACGAAAGTAGCTGTCTGTTGGTCAAACCACAGCTAGATAATAGTGTTGTCACAGCACAAAATTTTTTTCTGAGGAATAGGCGACGTAATATCAATTTTAATAATTAAAACATATTTAAATACAACAAAATGTGGACACAAAACAATAGCTTCTTCAATTCTTAATCTAACTTATGATATGGATATCTAAAACTATCCACAAAAGGTCCAAATTTGTATCATGTAATTTGGTGGGTATTGATAATATTTCTCAAATTAACATTTAGTTTTGTTATTTTTAGTATCAATTAGTATCTGAGTGCCGATTTTTTTGATAACCCTATTGGGCAAATAGTTGTTTCCAAAGTTGTAGACATGTCCACTTTCCATCATTCAAAATGAATGCCTGCTGGAGCACCCACAATACTGTCAGCATTACAATAGCTCTGCTGCCAGTAAAACTTCACTTAAATTGACTGGGTGTCTTCTTGTTCCTCTCTATCACCAATCTCATTTTTTGTGTGTTTGTTTTGGAGGAATGCAAAAGTTGAATACAGAGTATAATGTCTATAATAATAATCTTTAAAGGCTGCAGGATGAGCACATTGAAAATAAAACAAACTGACCTTGCAATGTAATCTTCCAAGTTAGGGTATAAAATTATATTTCTGCACTTAACTTTGTTCATTTTTTTTTTTTTTTTATGTGATGCTTCAACTTCAAGACATTTACATTTCCTATGCCAAATTTATTTTTTTTTTTTTTTTATCAATATTGCCCAACCCTGCATACAGTGCAACAGAATAGACTAATACATACTATAACAGGCCTGTCACAATAAATACTATGTTGAGTTATCGTACAATACATGACAGATGGAATAATCATGTTGGGGGTCAATATTTATCGTGAGTACTTTTTCTTACTAGTCAAGAACTTCTAGTCATTGTTCAGCTGTGTATTGATTTGAGCCATAAGAAGTTTGAATAAATAACTTTTATGTCTCATTATAGATTCAAACTTATTAATGAAGTGTTTCATTCTGCTGTTTAGTCATTGGAGTGTTTGTGTTTTTTTTAACTGTATTGTAAATTTAGAATCTTTTTGGAGGGTAATCTTGCTGTAATATTATTGCATCAGTGGCATAAATAAGTTTCAATATTATTGTTTTTCATTTTTATTTTCTATATATCACACATCAAAATGTGTTATTGTGACAGGCCTATGCTATAATAATAATATAATTTTCTAAACATTCCTGTATTTATATGATAACTACATTCATAAAGATAAAAACAACAACACTGAAACAAAAAAAAAACATGAGCACAATTTTAGTTTACCTACATATGTGTGTTAAACTACAAATCTTACTACTAACAATTATGGAAGTGAGCAGGGACCAAGACTCGCTGGTCAAACGAAAGCCCCTGCTCTCCCTCTATGACCCTTGAGCTCCAGCTGCTTCAAACACTCTCTGCAGCTTCTTGATAAAATGCTCCTCTTTGTATTTGTTTCCCTGAGCCGGCCGTCATAACCTGCAATGCCCTGGCCATATCTCGCTAGTTTGCGCCATGTCTGGGAAAAAATAACAAACAGTCTTCTCCATTATTTCCACAAACGGGGAACGAAAGGTCCTCGCCCGGGCATCCCCACGAGAGCCTGTATTGATTACAACAATGCTTCAACTCAAGACAAGACCACTCCGGGGTCAGTGCTATTTCCATCAGAAAGTTTGCCAGTTTAAATTTACACGACTTCCTGCACGTACTTTTCCCCTCTCTCTCGCCTCCAGTGAGACTAGCAGGAAAAGCCGAGGAGTTTGAGAGTATCACAGTGCCAGTTGTGTAACAGAAGATGCTCACCCTTTGCACTGCAAGTGGGTGTTGTTGAGCTCCAACTATAGGCTCCAACTACTATAGGCAACCCACTTGAGAGTGCCGACCTGCTCAGAGGGGGCAATGCTTGGAGATAGAGACATGGAGAGTCGGTAAGAAGAAGGGACAATACTAAACGAGACGGTGAGAAGCAGTGTCTTACTGTTTTTTATCTCTTCTCTTACTTCTGTCAGGTTTGAGGATCATACATCACTATCGCTCCAAGGGCCTTATATATTAGAGCAGTCTGACAGACAGTCATCTGGCGTGAAAAGTTTTAATAAGGAGCATTATCATAACTCAAGCTTGTGTGTATATATCTTTTACAACAGGCATTTGACAAGAAAGCAATAATGTTTTACTCACTGTCCACTGTCGTTGCCCCATGCCATTAACCTGTTCTTCTTTCCTGTAAACCAAAGTACAACAGAATAAATAAGTAAATAAAAATGGAACAAGAACAACGTTTCAATATAAAAGGTAATGAAACCTTTATCATGAAAATTAAATGACAATCTTCTGCACACTCAACATAAATACGCTAGAGAAATATATGTTAAAAAAATATTTAATTCAGACTGTCTTTTAGAGTTTGATTGGTACGCAACCAGCTTTATTAAATTTTTGAATGATAAAAATCACTTTACTGTACTTGGAGGACATATTCGATTCACTTTTTTTTCTGGAATTTTCACAGTTAATCTTTTCTGATCTTATTTACAATCATAATGTGACCCGTTTTATCACATTATTTGAACATACCTACTAGTTTTAAAAGCAAGGTTTTGTAATGTGTGGTGTAGCAGCGTGTTTTTGTCCTCAAGTGTGGAGCGAAGAGCCGTGTCAGTGGGTGGACTCTTTCCTGCTGTGTGAAGTTTGATTAATACAGCCTCGACACAGAGTTCAGACACTGGGGCCACCTCTCACACACCCTGCTGTAAAATAATGAGCCTTCAGTGGCTAGGAATAATATACATGGGTGGAGAGAGACAATCCCTTAGTCCAAGTCCAAGCTGAATATATTCAAATGAAATGAAGAGAGGAGGCCTAACTGATTAGACGTGTCTCAGAGAAGTGGAGAGGGCTATATATTTCTCCTTTTATGTACATGTACTTAACTGTCACCTCTCGGCTTAACAATCCAATGTGGCACTGACACATTTGCATACGCTTTCTATAAATATGTGGACCTCTACCTGTTCCTGCACTGGCTCCATTCTTGCCGGAAACACAGAGAAGTCTTATTGGTCTTATGGGAGCTTAACCACCACAGGGGTAACAGCCAATAGCAGCGAGCGTTACTCATCAAGCCTGCCAAGCCCTCATATATAATAGAGCAGACCTTATGATTTACCTAAGCTTGTCAAAAGAGAAAAATTATCAGGCAAATGCGGTGTAATAAATTGTAATCCGTGCTGCATATGTTTGACTTGTGACCCTTGGCATTTCAAGGGTTGAGATGGAAGAAAAAGTGAGAGAAAGTAACTTGCAAGGTAAATTAGAACTTTGAGAACTTTTCAAAAGAGGTGCAAAGCAGGTCGTATATTTTTTTACGTAATAAAATACATGTTCTACGCACTTGCAGAAAAAGGCTATACAGCAATACCATTGCGGAAGTGAATTATGTACATGTTATTATTTAGTTCCATTAAATTATTCTAATATTTTTTGTGTCCATGCATTTTGAGTCTTTGTCGAGCACACAATGTAGTCCTTTTCCTATCATTATTTTAAATGAGAAAGTATGATTATAGCTTTAAAATGTTTACCTTGTGAAGTTTAAGTGCAACAATATTTTGTCTCTGCATATTTCACACAGTTGTTAATTAACACCTATCCTGTAGTAGCATGTATTTTGTAAACAGTTGCAAAGAGACGAAAACAATAAAATGAGAACATAAAACAGAATTAGAATGCAGATAATCATATATTGGAAAAAGAAACATACTATATTCAATACAAGCATAAAGTGACCCTACAAATTACGGGTACACAATAATACAGACACAAATAATTGTACATTATAAGATAGTAAGAATTTGATACAAAGGGAAAAAGCTTTGTTCAACACAAAAAAATAACCAAAACAGAAAGAGCAAAATGCTGTACCAAGTTGGCAGTTAGAAAGTTATACATGGAAAGACAAAAAAGTTGAGGATTCTGAGTTAACTTTCTCAAGCGCGTGTCCTCTCTGGAATAATGAAATAAAGATGAGAATGAAAATGACACAATGCAAAGAGAATGAAAACACTGGCTGTCCCTGTGTTTTCCTCTTTTGTTTTGTCATTTTAGTTTTCTTGTTTTGCTTTTTTAACTCCTGAGGATTGCTATGTGGGAGTATGATAAACAAGAGGTGTTAAGAACATGTAAAACCAAAACACCAAAATACTGGCAGCTGATACACAAACAGGCACATGCTAAACAATAGGATTTCTATCCAAGTTTGTACATTCATGTTTATCCCTTATTTACAGTTCAGTACTTGTCCAGGGATGGCTATGTCTGTGTAGTATTTTATATATGAATAAATATATTGACAACAGAGGTGCAGTGACTGATGTATACTTTGGTCCCAATACACTTTTACACTTAAATGTAAACCTGTCATGATAATTACTATTCGACTTATCATTGAATGTATGACAAATGCAATTATATTTTTAATATAGGGTCATTATTTATCGTGTGCACATTTTCTTGAGACTACTGGAAACTTTCTGTTTGTTTTTTTTGCTATATGATAAGATTGAAGTCATAAAAGGTTGAATGAATAACTTCTATGACTCATTACAGAAGAAAATAAACTACTTAAGTGTTTAATTCTGTTGTTTATTTCTTGCAGCTTGTTTGTTTGTTGTAGATTTAGAATAGATTTTGGGGTATAAATTCGCTATTATAGTCTGTCATTTCTTCAGCAAACTATTGTGCTTCAATATTTGTTATCGTGACAGGCCTACTTAATTGTAAACAGTAAAAAGGAAATTGGATCAAGTGCTACTTTCAATGCCATACTGTGGAATATTCAAAGCAAAACAGAACATTAGTTGACGTAATCTACATTGATCACGTCAACGTACTTTGTCTAATTAGTTCCATCACTGCTGTTGTGTTATCATAATGAGCACTTACATCATCCCACTGTAACCCACCTCACCTTGTATCTTTACGGCTCTCTTACCCTCACAGTGGCAGATGTTTGCGGACTTATTTACCCACCCCTCCAGCCACCTGCCCGCTTGTGGATGTGGCAAGGGCAGATGCTGGCGTGGGGGGCGCAGAGGTCCGACAGCGCAGCATCAGTCTGACGTTCAGGACTGATGGGCAGGCCCGAGCACTGGCAGTCTGGCGGGCACTGCGTTCACCCTCCTTTGCCCCCCGCCGGTGCCCCGCTAGCCTCCGCCGCACTTTAGCGAACCAGGCAGTGGAGCTTCTCAGTGGCTGGTGGCCTATTGCTTTACTCCCCCAATAAAAATAGCCCGTCCCATTATTCTTCAGGCTCCCCAGAGGCCGCAAGGTCTCTAGCATCATTACCAGGACTAAGGATCTGACTCTGCTACCACCACCCCCCCACCTCTCCTTCTTCTCTAATTATAGGTCAAGTACTCTTTTTGTAAATTATAAAACCTTTGTTCTTATCAAGAAAACTCGAGCAGACATCAGGACAAGATACTTCAAGCTGTGAAAGGGGTGAAAGTCAGATAAAGAAAGAGGGGGAAAATGTTGTAAAAATTAAAAAGGAGGGGAAAATTTTCAATTATAAAACCAAGCTAATTTGGTATGACCAGCCACTGTCATGCATGGTGACGGAGCTCCATTATGCAGTCATTTGAGCTCTTTCAAATTAGTTATGTTAATGTCCTGCGTGTGAATGTAACACTTGGATGGGACAAGATTTCAGCAATTAATTTCTACAGTCAGCAGAGAGACAAGCAAATTTATTTTCCCCCTCTCAGGGAATTGGTGGTGGAGGGAGCGAGGAGGGGAGAGAGCATTCTGGAGCAGGGAACAAGCTAAACACAAGACCTAAATAAAGCCTGAACAATGGGAGCCAATGCCTCCTCATTCATTCAATTGACAATGTTTTGCAGCTTAAACCTGTTTTATTAATTATGTTTGACATTTCCTTAATTAGTTTCATTTACACCAAATCAATCCCTGCTGCTGTACAGCGTCATTTATCATTTTAAAAAATTTGCATAGCCCGTGCTGACTTTTTCTACTTAATTATACATTAAAAGTGTCAGGCGCGCTTGCTGCCTGGCATTATCTGAGGCAGAAAGGTTTGTGGCTGGACGGGGGTGGCATTAATCATCAGGGCGGGTGCGGGCAAGGGGTGCTCCCGGTCGCCAGTGGGGAGCCGAGTAGGGCTTCTCATTTTCCTAGTGAGATGCTTTTGGGGTTGTTACGACCTCAATGACCTATGGGGAAATGCAGACAAATATATGACCTCCAGTCCTTTAAACAACCACAGCGTGTTTATAAACTACAAAGAATGACACAGAAAATATAAACATAATGCAATGCACACATAAAAGCATCACAAGGAAACACAATTCCAGCAGAGTGCAGTTCTACATGGAGCAATTTGGCACATTTAGTGTGAAATGTCCATCCTGGTTCATTTCTCTTAATTCACAGTATATTGGGGCTGGAATTAGCACAACACGTGACCCCAGTATGGCTATAACAAGCACAGTTACTTGTGGTCATCAAATCATATATTTTATACTTGCTGTATTGCTATATTACCACTGTATTTCCCTTAATCTGGAAGTCATTCAGTTGTCTGTTGCTAACTGAGTAGCTATTACGTTCCATTTGTGAGCAGTGAACAAACTGACAGCTCAAACGCCTGGAAGGCCCACTCCTGAGTAAATCCTAAGAGTGTTGAGGTGAACATGGCTTTACAAATCACCCATTCAGGAAGCCAGACAGAAATTGGCAGGTAGGTACAGCCACGGTGTCAGGAGTGAAAATTACTCTGAAATGTGGAGAGGCTTGGTGAGTGAGTGTGAATAGTGAAAGCTATGGGTGTCACAGTGCACCATGTTCACATGAGAAATCAAACAAGTGTATTTTGGAGCAGAGTCAACATTTTAGTACTTCAGAGAATACAGTAAGAAATGTTGTTTGTAAATATTAAATGCATGGTGGCATTTATATTCTTCAAAACATTATCATGGGCCTAGTCTATAAAAGATGAATGGCATCTAAGGAAGCAGAGAGTGAGTTGAAAATCTTAAGTGCTAATCACTGGGATATGTTCAGTGTAGAAATTAAAGCAGGTCTTGTCCCAAGTGAGTAGTTGGTTTTCATAAAGTCCCCTGAATGAGCTGTATCAAGGAAGCAGCAGACACCGCTTCATTCGCATGGTCCTTCAAGGAAAACACAATGGAGAGGGTGGCAACA